TCAAAGGATGTAATCTTGCCAGGATCACCTTGGGCGACCCTGGGAAGCTGGCGCCGAAGAAATATCTGGCGATGACCAGGAAAAATCTACGCCTTACAGTAGGATTTCTGACTGGCCACTGTCAGCTAAGGAAACACCTACATAATATGGGGCTAGTGGACACACCTCTATGCAGGATGTGTGAACAGGAAGATGAGACTGTCAGGCATGTCCTGTGCGAGTGCCCGGAGTTATCGTCAATAAGAGAGTGTGTGTTCGGCGAGTCTTGGCCTACACCTGCCGATATAAAGGAGATGTCTCCCAGCGACCTGTTCACCTTCCTGGTAAGGACAGGATGGACGACGACCTAGGAGGACAACTCCTCGGGAGGATGTACAATGGGTGACATGTGGCCTAAGTGCGTGGGCTTACACTCACCCTCCCTACTCTACAGATACAGATATATACAGAAGTTAACGAAAGAGAACATTGATCATTGCACGCAAACATCACGTGCAACTTTGATAGCCTGGAACATTGAAGAAAGATTGGAGATTTGTCTCTCTTCTTTGTATACTTTTGATTCCGCCAAGAGCAGTACATATAAAAAATGCGCGACGGACTGTGGCTGCTCAATGTTTCGAGGTTCAACTCAGTACACCACCAAATTTACTGTTCGAAAACTCTTCCATCTGAAGATCTGCGTTTTTGTGTAATGAACTTCCTGAGAACGTTTTTTCAAATAGATTTAATCTCCAGCGATTCAAATCCAATGTGAATCACTACTTTCGCAAAGACACCGATCTGAGAGCTCCTAGAATTTTCCCGTTGCTCTTCTGTTTTGTTCTTAAGAAAAAGTTACGAAGCATGCAGTTGCACCATCTAAGTGCACGATAGGAATTCTTTTATATATAAATATACAAAAAAATCCAAAAAATCCTACATTCTATTTGAGTCACTTATTTATATTCATAGTGATTTGAACAATTGATTTCACTCAACACAAACTCACAACCGATTCGAAAATACTTTTTCAAAACATGTAAGTATCAATGATGTGTAAGTTACAGCCTATACTGAATCAACAAACTGACTTAGGGTACAAATGAAAGGAGGAGAACATTTTCCTGTAAATTAACGATCAAAAATATTTTTATTTGGAATTCATTCTTTTCTTTCTTTTTCACTATTATACTTTTCTATTTTATTTCTTTGTATATTATTATTCCGTCTAGCCCATATTCTCACACAAAAAACCAAATTATGAATAAATCCAACAGGAAAAGAAGTTATTAGAAAAAACTGATCACCAGAAAGGAAGGAATGAGTGTGACATTTTCCTAATTGAATACGATTGGATCAAACTAGACAATTATGTGATACATATTGTCATATGCTATAATACTTTGAATGCTACAGTTTTTATGGAAAACTGATAAAAATCAATTCCAATAATAAATACAGTTTGTACAACAAAATTTCGGCCGGTTCACACATCTTTTTGAATCAAAATATCGTTTCAAACTTTTATATCGACTACTCTGGTAACTCCGTCGATGCCTGGATACTGTAATTCTAGTCATTCTCCGATATAATGGAGATACTTTTGTTCTGTTTTGAAAGTATTGAAGAATAAATCATAATGAAATGGGGTAACTTCTGCTTCTACTTCACTCGAGTTTGTAGTTCTAATATTCTTTCGGCCATCTAACCAAAAATGTTCCACAATTGATTGCAACTTCTGGTATATCTCCGAACGATTCACGAAAGTATCGAGTGAATTCACTTCAGGAAGTACGAATAAATTTTCCCAATTGAGAAATGGGATAATGTGAGAGCGGCTAGTCTTGTGGAATTGAAAATAGTTTACATAATCAGGAGACTTCAAAATCTCCTCAATTCCAATCAAAACTGAGTAGGTGACCATCAAAAAACCGTTCAATATAATGAGGACTTTTCATTCCAAACCTCCCAAAGCCCTCGAAAAGTGATAGAATTTGCTGGAATAGGTTGCCATTTTTTCAAATTCAAGATAATCTGTTATCAAGTTTGATACATGTTTCAAAAATGATGCAGTTTTAGAAATTTTTCGAAAAAAAAAGGTTTCTGGATTTCTATTTCCTACAGAAACTTCCAAAAAGCAAATACTTTCATATGAACATTGAGTTACACATTTGTACCCCAAAACATTCGTCATGGAATTGAAATAGATATCATTCTTAGGAACGCTACTCAATATGGTATATGAAAGAATCACAATATAAAATTATATTATCGTCAATAGCATATTTCGACGTTTTGGAATACGATATCCGTCTTATACCTTCTCAATACACTTCTGGATGATATTACAAGACGATGTGTTCATTTCTTTCGTAACATTACGACTTTATGTTACCGGAAGTACGTGTAAAAAATATATTCATATGCTACTTTCACATTAACATTTATTTACATAAAAGAAAACGTTCTGGTTACACAAATACTTCCATAATAACAACAAATTATACGAAAATCACGATTTTCTATTCGTTCCAAACATTCCGCTCATTGCATTTACTATCACGATGACAGTGCGTAGAGACATTTATACACTTATTTGATCATAAGAAACAAGATCGTTTAACTGCTTCATTTTTATGCAAGGATATAGTTAGCGTGTTCCTTCGTCGCAAGTTCAAATCAGTTCTATATCCAATCTTCCTCTTGAAGATGATCACTTAGTGATCAAAACACATGTCGGGATGCCAAAATAACGGATTGGTGTTGGGATAAAAAGTAATATTCCAAACTTTCAGTATTGACATTGAGGGATTTTATTTTTCAATATTTAGTAAAAATGATGCTTTAGACAATCGAACATACTAAGCCATCTAGCTTGAAATATGCGTATTAGCACACCGTATGCTATATATCATTCACTTACAAGAATTTTGAACATTTTGTACCCTTCTAATATCAAAACTGTCAATACATGGTTCATAGACTACGTAACAATGATTGAAGTCCGACAGAACGAAACTATCACCCAACTGGATTTACAGTCTTTGACTGTAAATAAGTTTCAATAACATATATGCATTTTTAAAATTTTGGGTGTTTAAATCGACTTATGGACTAATTGTCCATGATCAAGATTTTTACAATAATCAGCGAATTCAATCTTATGTTTCCCTATCTGAATTCTTTGCTGAGCTCACCTCTTGGTCAGTGCCAGATAAGAGTGCACCATATTTAGTTAAATTAATTTTTAACGAAAAACCATTCGTGAGGGTAAGTAATTGATGCAGTCCGGTCCGATGCTTTCGCTGTGTCATCTGCATGACAATGGTAAGTATTCACAGTTTTTCAGATGAATAGAGAAGTTGCTAGTGTAGATAGTGTATAGTTATGGTTCCGGAAGACATCCTTGTGAAGCGCCCGACATATGTTCAATAAATCTAAGATATGATCATCTAAAGTTACCTGTTGCGAATTACCAAATATATGAGACTTAATAATTGAACAAGCATTTGCTGAAAATCCAATAGTGTTTAAGATAGGGAAAATAATCTCATGTCTTGAGGTATCGAATGTCTTGGAGTAATCAAGTAGTGTCAGAGCACACATTTAATTATCATCAATAGACCTCAATATGTCATCAGAAATAGTACACAGCGCTGATAAACAACTGTATCCTGGCCTGAATACATTCTGATATAAGTCATTTTTGGTAATTTTGTATATCCAACATAACAAACTGTCAAATATTTGTTTCATGTATAAGCTGATTCTTGGACTGACTGAAAATATCAACTAGTTGTAAGTTGACTTTGACCTGAATCCTGCTGGTATCTGCAAACCACTTCTAGTTGGAAATCAATCTTTCGTATAACTTGTGAGACCAATATCGAATACAAATGAATCAAGATGCATAGAAACTCTGGTGTTTTCACTTTGTTCACATGTTGATATATGACGCGATAATCGAAATCTGTCGCATGCATTTCGTTGAGTTCTTTAATTCATGAACCATATGTCAAAAACAATTTCAGTCCCAAAGGTGAATGATGATGAAAATTGAATTGCCATCTTGACATTGTTAAACAGTGTGATTTCAGTTGTAACTCAAGGGTTTATGAAAAATAAATTATAAAAAGCAGCATTACCAATAAATTCAGTTTTAATCCCAACAATGAGAAAGGTACGTTCATTCATTCATAATTTGTTACTTTAAATCGAAAACAAAATTTCGATTAATACGTATACTAAGATCTTCTCGAAAATATCAAAATTAATATTTGTATTGGAAATATGTGAGGTGCAATCGAAATGTCGAAGGTCTGAAAGAATTTAACAATTGTATTTAATCAACGAGCGAGTAGGGCAGCTATTACTCGTGAGAACGAAATTTGTCGTCGAGAGCCGAAGGCGCGTATCGTAAATTATTAGAACGAGTAATGACCATTTCATGCGGAAAAAATACTATTCTTTCTCAATGACTAATATCAGGAATACTTTAAAAACCATTATTTGTGAAGGGTATCCCTAATAAGAGAAATACCGTTGAATTTGATTACAAGAAGCAACCTTAAATAGCATTACAAAATGTTCTCTATTTTTGTTGAATAATTTGAAAATTGAATGGCAGAAACGTTTTTACCCGAGATTGAAACCAGAACTCCTGATATTCAAACCCAACGTTCTGACAACTATACCATGCAGAATCTTAAAAATTATTGTGACATAAAGCTATTTGAATTTATATCTACTCTCATTCTATAACTGAGACAATTTTGAAAATAGTTTTTCTTTGTCAAATTACAATTTTCTGGTGGAATACACTCCGAATACATGATTTTATTCTTGTTTTTTATTAAAAATTATTATTTTCAAAACTAAATGTCGGTTCACTGAATAATAATAGTGATAAGTAATAGTGAGTTAAGAATCTGGTCGACTGTGATTGGTTTGAAAGTCACTTACTNAATGAATGTAATGTTTGATATTTGTGTTAATCTAGTGATTGTTTGTGTTTCCGTGTTCGCTAAATTGTTTTCAATGGAATCCTCTATATTCCAAATCTAAAAATCGGATCAAAAACTGATCTACCAATTTGGGTGAAATCATCAGCAATCTATCATGGTGAATTTACGCAAAATTTAGTATTTGATTCATTTCAATCGGTTATGTCAATTCAAAAAACAATGTCAAACACGTTTTCGAAAAAAAAAATTATCAAAATACTTCTGAAACAAGCACTTTTTTCAATCACCAGACCTGGAATATTCCTTTTGAATTCAGAAGTTTTCTACATTTCTGAAGACACCAACCTGGTCGGTGGAACGTGCGTCGACAAGAGTATTCTAGTTCTGGTGATTGAGAAAAGTATTTGTTCCGTATTCCAGAGGTTTCAATTTTATCTTTTATTATGAAACATTGTTCAGGTGATATGGCTGAAACTTTGCTGAACTATATTAATAGTTCGTGAAACGTTTTACTCATAAATCAAAGAAAGGCAAATACCTGAAAACATTTCAGTGTTAGAAATTTTTGAAATAAACAAAAACCGAAGTTACGTGTAACAGTTAGACAGCTGAGATAGTTATTCAATTCAGTGAGACATTTTAACGGAAAAGACCATGGAGTTTTCAAATAATGAAAGAGTTGATATGCTTTTTGTATACCTGAGGTATTTGAGAAATACTATCAGGCCTCTGTAAATGTATTAAGAATTCCATTCTCAGAGACATCTTCAACATATCGAAAATACTATCATGATGAAACAGTGGTCACATTGTTTCATTATCATGGATTGATTGTGTTATTAATTTACTCCAAGTAATAGGTCAGTGTAAGTTTCAAAATAATGGAAAAAGTGCCTTTGAGGGGGATTACATGTAATTCGGCTACATTCAGTACAGTAAAAAAATTTGAAAGTAACATAAATTTAAACGTAACAGAGTCACAAAAGTATTAATAACGTTTGGGAGACTTCAACAAAAAAAGATTTCTATAATTGGCTACTTACATAGTTTCGGAGTTAATGTATGGTCTGGTGTTTGTTCTGAATGAAGAAATTATTTGCTGTGAGCGAAGAATTATAATTGGATTTTTCATCAGACTCTAGTATGGTTTTAAGGAGACATAGAGCTATACCATATTGCAGGAAAACGCACCCAATAGGAATATTCCAGAAAGGTGGATGGAAAATGAGTAATGCCACAAATTTCCACTTTTAGAATTTTCATTATGAGGCCACATTGAAGACAAGGTATATAGAATTCATTTTGAAAATAACGAAGAATTGAAAGCTTCAATAAGAAGAACCGGCATGGCTAGGACTCCATAAATACTTCAAGCACACTAATTCTGGAGAAAATATTTGAGGAATGTAGAGTAGAATAGTATTCACTCAATTAAATAACTTGGTGTACACATGTGATTACTAACTGATTCAAAAATAAACTTTTGCGCTTCTGAAAAGACAATATCAATTACTGAGCGATTTCTCACCTGGGGTGCTGATCCTTTCAGTCGAGTTTTCGATCTTCTTTTCTTCAGTATAATAGGTCCTAATCCTGTTCCTTCCGACCTCTGGAGTAAATCAGTAGGTCTTTCTGGATGTGTGTTGTTGGAAGACTTTGGTTTTGACTCTGTTTCGTTTGGAGATTGAGAACCCGAACCGCTGTTTGGACTAAGCCTTTTCAACACTTCTGACATCATTTCTTCAATGCGATTGACTTTCTGGTTCATCCTTTGTATCTCCAACTTCACATCTACCTGCATTGGAAATATTTTTCAGCTAAGTTGTTCAGAATTGAACACATAAATATATGTATGTAAATGTATGTATCTATGTATGTATATATGTATATATGTAATTATATTACAGATCGATGATACGATGATACGTGAACATAAGAACCGTATTCATTTGATAAAGACTGGGAGGCGATATCAGTTGACCATGTACTTGATTAGTTCATTTTGACTTTTTTCTTGTTGGCATACATCCAAACAGTGTACCTACCTATCCAGCAACTTGTTCATTATATCTCAGTTGGAACGAATATCATAGATGATTATTTGAAACTTTTGAGCAACAAATTCAGTTTCATGAGAGCGGTTTATTTAAAGAAAATGAAAAAGGTGAAATTAGAAAACAAGCCGACCTCGTAATGATTATTGATGCTTTCAGATGTATCTGAGCTTAGGTTGAAGCTTAGTTTGAAGAGCCTGATCGACAAATTATTTTCGGGTAACAGAAAATGAAGTCCATTATTTGAAGCCAATCGTGGGTCTGCAAGGGTAATCTAAAATATACAACTAATATGAAGAGGAAAAAATTGTTTTTTTGTGCGTTTGTAATGGATGAAGTCAAAGAATCAATCGATTTTAAAAAACTATTTCACCTTTAAAAAGTTACGTTATCAGGGAGTAACACAGATTCTATTTTATCAAAACAACTTTACGAACATTGCCATAGTGAACCCAAGAAATAAAAAAATTGCCAGTAAAAGTAAATCATTTTACGAGTTACTAGTTAGACATATAGAGCTATGACATTATGTTTTTTTTTGATTATGATATCCAAGATATTTCTTCGAATATATGAATGATATAACATGAACTTCCTGTGAAGTACGACGAATATCAAGATGAAGAAATTTGCCTAATTTTATATCTGTTTTGGTCTGGTTTGACTCAATTTTTTTAAATACAGACATGTATTTTTTTATAACTTTTGGTTAGGAAATAACTTTTATAATTACAAATTTATTGATATATTGCAACATATCTACACTTCTTGACCTGAAAGAAAGAGTTTTCCTGTCAAGTTCATTATGAGGCCACGTTGAAGACAAGGTATATAGAATTCATTTTGAAAATAACGAAGAATTGAAAGCTTCAATAAGAAGAACCGGCATGGCTAGAATTCCATAAATACTTCAAGCACACTAATTCTGGAGAAAATATTTGTTTGAGGAATGTAGAGTAGAATAGTATTCACTCAATTAAATAAGAGGATAAGAGAAGACTAGTAAACTGGGCTTGTGTTTGTAGTATCTTCTGTTATTATAATAGTTCGGAATGGAATATAACATATAATATATAACAATTGGTTATTGAAAATTTTGAGCTCTCGAAATGATGATTTTATACGATAATCGCGTGCGACAATAACTTGAAAAATGTTTCATGAATCATTTTATTCTGCCTTTGATTTTCTACAGTTTTTACTGTGGTGTATTACGATTCACTAACTATGCTCCTGCAATGATATTTGGAAATTCGTGCACTTAATAAAACAAATCATTTTTAAGTATTTATGATGTGTCAAAATATCGAAAAATACATCAAATACTTTTGATTATAATGACTATTACAATGTATGATGACGAAATACTTTCATCACATTTTGATATTATTAAAAATTGATAAGCTAAAATGAAAGAAAAACGATTGAATTTATTCGATCTGTTGAGTCTTCAACAAGGCAACTTTTGTTCTATTTTACTAACCACATAAGATCTACCGTTTCCGAAATAGCAATGAGTCGCAGCTAAATGAAACGACCTATTATAGAGAGCACACTCAACCATCCATTGAAACTTGAATCGGAAAACAAAGTCAAAGTCAAAATATGCTTTATTGTCTGGAGATTACCATCTTATTGACAAAGCTTGGTTAAAATAATTCGAGAAACAAATTCACACATAGTAGTTATCGCTACTTGTCAAGTTATGATTATTCGAGTAATGTTTTCGAAAACAATACACTATAAAATAATATACATTGGCAGGTAGTTGTTGAATAAAATTTCTTGACTTGCCTTCAGGTATGCGATTATTGTTTCCATTTTTAAGTTTCCCATTTAGGGTAATGTAGTGCAATAAGATGAGAAGGTTAAATATTTAGTTTTTTCGAAATTAATCGTGAGTTTATTGTGACAGAATCATTTTTCAATCTCTATGAAATTTTTTCTGCAGACGTTTTTAGTTGGTTCCATGAAGGGTTGGTATAAAAGCCAGCCGTATCGTCACTAAAGCCCAAAATTTTACCTTTTGTTGGTATCTGTAGCAGTTCATTCAGATATATTGTAAACAGAATTGGTCGTAGAACCGTTCCTTGCGGAACACCATAAGTAATAAATTTGGGATAATTCTAAATAACATCGATACTAACTTTCTATGCTCGGTTGCATGAATATAATTCGAAAATGTCGTAAGCTTTCCCTCGTATTTCATAGTTCTCTAATTTTTCCAGGAGTTTTGTATGACTAGCGGCATCAAAAGCTTTGGAAAGATCAACGAAGATGCACTTACTGGAGTTTTTTGTCAAGAGCTTTATAAATGAAAGGTGTTAGATTTTGTATTGCATCTTCCGTTAATCTTCTCTCCTTGAGTTCGTATTGCTGATATTAGTTTGAATTTTCTAGTAAAATTCACTTATCTCTTTTTTTGAATTTTCTCTATTACTATGGCTACGTTTGAGATTAGTGATACAGGCCTATAGTTATCCATTATTGTTTTGTCTCCACTTTTGAAAAGTGGTTTTATTATTCCAATTTTAAATATTTTGGAAAATCAGTCTTCCTGTAAACATTTCGTTGACAATCAATTTCAGCGTTTCTGAACAAATTCCATTATGACCTAGAGGTTTCTTTTGTTTTAATTCCATAACAACTTTGTAAACCTCATCTTCATTAGTTTTTGATATTGAAATCTGTAGTATGTGTTCATTGTTTTTGGAATTAGCTGGTTCTTCAATTTCAAGGGCATATTCTTGACCAAAATTCGCATAGTACTCATTAAAATTGTTGCAACTTTCTAGTTATTTTTAATCACTGCACCATTCTCTGATTGAATAGTCGGTATTTTCGTTTCAGGTCTAGATTTATTGCATATCTCATCGACACATTTCCATAGTTCTTTTGAGTTTTTACTGTTATTTATTATTTTCTGGGCATATTTTTTCTTGGCAGCTTTCAGTAGCTTATTTAACTTATTTTTTTATGAAATTAAATTTTTCTTTGAGTGATAATGTTTCGGGATATTTTATTAGAGTTGGATACTATTTGTTTTTTATATTTAAGAGCTCTGTTAACTCTGGAGTAATCCAGGATTTTTTTACTTTATATTTTTTCTTAAGTTAAGTTAAGATTGTATTTTTTTCAACAAGATATAATCTATTCACAAATATTGTTGCAGCATTATCGGCCTGTTCTACATCATATATATTTTCCCAGTTTTCTGTCAATAAGTCTTTTTTAGGTTTTTTGTAATTCGTGAATTTTGTTTTTCCCGTTTCTTCATCGATCTCTGTCTCATCCAAATCAAGCGTTATGGCAATTGTGTAGTTTCAAATATTCGTTTCAAATATTCAATTTTTAAGATACCACTTTTGACAAAAATGTGGTCTAGACAAGTATCACTATTTGGGGTCTAGTTACTTCATTAATATATGAAATGAATCCCAATATATTAGTATATTCTTCAAGTATTTCACTATCACAAAGAAGATCTAAGTTCATACCTATAATCATATGAGTACATTTGTTTTTTGATTTCTGTAAATAACCACCAGTGAGTTCAGTAATGAAATGTTTGGCTCGGGGATTTATGAATTGCAGTGATTTTTATTTTGTGTTGCGAAAACTTTTGATATTTTCAATGTTTTGCACTTCGCACACATATTTAATACTTTCCTATGTGGATGATAATTGATTCAATTCCATAACTAATGTTTGCAAAACAAACTGAATAGACAAAAAAGGGTTTTTTGTGTTCATATAAAATTATCAGGCTCTTCCGAAAGTTTTTTTTTTCGTGTAATTCAACGTTTATATGAAAGTGGCTGTTTCGAGTGGGCGTTTTTCCAGTTTGTAGGTGAAAGTTATTTCTTTGTATGATGTACACATCTTTGTATAAAGTTAACATTTTTGAAATTCATTGCTTCCCTTCTTTCTCTGGAAGATTCCCACAAAATATTTTGTATAAAGATGGAGAAGTAGAGTCAAAACCTTTCTTTCTCGAAAATTGATCTAACCTAAAAATATATCCTTTTCAATTCAAACAAGATTCCTATGGCAGGGATTTGATCAAATAAGCGAATGAATGTCATTGCGTACTGTCATCGGTGACATGAGTAGATTGAACACCTTCGTGACATACAGTCGTAATTTCATGAATGATTTCAGTGTTTTTTCTCAGGATGTTATCAATATTTGGTATTGAAAAGCTGATAAGGCAAATATCTCACGGCGAAACATCGGATGTCTACCAGTGAGGATGATAGTGTTCCATATAAGTGAAATTTCACCTCTTTCGTTTACTGATATCTGATTCAATTCCAATTCTGTTTAAAAAAAATATGTTTTCCCGTTAATCAGCTGTCGCCCCCATACAAACGTCAACTCTCAGAAGTTGAAAAACTTGTGCGAGCTAAGGACTAACGAGATCTTATCTTTTAACCTGTGATTCTTAACACGGTTGCTGTATCATCCCAGCTTCAATCAGATAAATTCTCTCGAGAAAAATATCTAGTCGAGGCAGGAATCGAACCCACGGTCTTCCGATCGTGAGTCGGGCGCACTACCACCGCGGCCAATTCCACAACAATTCAATGTTTATATGAAAGTAGTTGTTTCGAGTAGGCTTGTTTTCTTTCAGTTTGTATCTGAAAGTTACTTCCTTGTATAGGGTTAACTTTTTTGAAATTGATTGATTGATTTAAACAAAATTTGGTATATTGATGATCGGTAATGCACCTTTTTCTCAGCTTTAATTATTATTTTGTAAAAATAGAAATTCAAGTCAATAAAATAACTGGTTGGTGTTGAAGAATTTCATACATCCGTCAAATTATTCAGTTATTTACCAGGAGTCATTGTCAAATTGAAATTGAAAGTAAGTATAAAGTAAGTAGAGAACTACGGGAAGTTGATATTTCGGGATAGAGTAATTTTAATACTGTCTGAGGGCAGATTGAGAGGTATGGAAGGAAAAAAGTGAAGTTAGGTCCTGTTGAGTTTTATGTCAGTTATTAAGTTTATTTATTTTTGTTCCCTTGATGATTGTTTCTTTTGAATATATCTTATTGAAATAACAATTTGACTTCATTTGTAGAATGAAGTTTTAGTTTTTTCAATCCTCGTAAGTCAATAAATGTTACATAGGTAGTGGTGAATGAATCCCAATTACGAAAAGTGGTGGGCGCTCCGTATTTTTTGTAATTTTTTTGTTTCAAAAATTTGTAATGAAAAAATTCTTGGTATAGTTCAAGTAAAATATATAGTGCACCCTTCCTTCCAGCAGTTCCCCTTTAATAACACACACAATGCGGTACTCCTAGCTACATTCTGTTGGTCACCGTAACATAACTTCAAATTCAATTTCATGACTCTTCAGCCAATCACAAAACTCGGTTAGTAAAAATTATCCAATACGAACTGCCAATTCTTCAGTCCACTTGTACTAATTCGTTGCGGCATAATTCCTTTGTGTTGGTTTTTTTGGCCTTTGACTTTGCCGACACCTTTAAGATTACTATATCGGTTACTTCGACTATACAACGCTAGATGATATTTCCACAATAGCTAATGAAACAGTACCCAGTAAATACTAATTCAACATTATGCGGAAACCCTTACCCCTTTCTGGCAAACGTACTACATTTGAATAGTTTTAGTCGCTGAAGATTATAAGACAGGAAACGAAAAGAATATGAAAAATTACATTATTCTTTTCAAGATTTTCCAATACTCGCTGATGATTATACCCTAATATAATTATAACATTCATTGGGCACATGATAGGGTGCAGATCAAAAATTGGAACTGATGCACAAATGGAACATTGATTTCAATTTTCATAAGGAATTCAAACGTTAATAAGAAATAACAATCTACGGCATTGAGTAATTTGAATCATTTTATGTCAAAACAATATGATGCTTTTGTAAAATAAAAAAACGAATATCAGAGATTAAATGTTAGGTAAATGATAACTGAACAAATATTGTTCAAGATACGGTATTTGACGGTAATATAATTTCAGGAGACTTCCTTCTAGAATTCAAAAATTGTTTTTATAACCCCAGAACAGCCTGAAATATCAGGTCCGTTTCAGGTACAACGTGCGTATCTTCATCAAGCTTAGGTCATGGAAAACTCACCATTCAACCTGATTTTGGGAATTATTTTTTTAGAAGAACTTAATTCAAGAGACCGTAAAAATAACTCTAAATGTAAAAGAGGTCCAGATAATTTATAATCGATATGACAATGAGAAATATAAGAACATTTCTACGATAAATTCAGTGATAATAATGAAGAAATTGCAAAATTCTTATTTCATACATAATTGTCGGGTTATCAATGAACATTATCAATACTTTATATATTTCTCACATTTTCACTTGGGTGAATAGGTTAAACTTTCTTTTTATCTTTTGTATATTGTTTTTTCCTAGTACAAACATTGTATGTTGGGAAATAAATCATTGTTATATTGAAGTGAATAACAAACATGTAACTTTGTGGAGGTGAAAATTTGTACCACAATGAAATATATACAATGACAATAATACAGGAAATGATATCGTCACAGCTTGATACAATACAATAAATAATTGATATATAGAGGACAAATGGATGTATGAAAAATATAAAGCTGATATTTTCAGTAACGAAAGGTGAACATGAGAAACTGGAAAATGTTTATGGTTTCAGAAGGGTCTTGTAGTCATTGAACGGTTACTCTGAAAAATAAACTATTTTACTGAAATCAGTAAGTTTTTTCACGTGAAACATTATTTTTACTTTCCCAATATCAAACTATTCAATACATATACTGAATAACGTGATAATTTGTCTCTATAGGTATATGTTAGAATTTTTCAAAAGAAAAATATATTTCATTAACAAGTTCAACAGCTTGAGGTTTATGTATGTCAAGTTACTGACAATATATTTTGTTTATTGTATCGTCAGAAGAATCGGAGTCTTGAACCGCATCAAATCCAGCAATGAAATGAATTTATCCAGTTTCCTAGAAATGGACCCACTGAAAAATTGCAACCCGAAGGAGAGCGATGTGCAAACTACAACCAGTTTTCAGTTCACTATTTTGTTTGTGATGGAATTGAAAGAAGAGGTTCATTATATGGTAGATGGTACAAACACATGTCTCCTAATTATTATTTTCATTTCCTCAAAATACTTTTACATTTTTCTATGTTTCAGCTGATAGTTCGGGTAAGAGTGATTTGAAGAGTAATCGAGTGCAGATCGGAAGGGTTGACGGGAAAAGGTGAAGAAATGACGTGTTAAGTTTACAATGTCACTATTTTCCGGGATTGAATGCCGTCAATTTTTGGAATTTGTTTCTGACATTTCACTGGCACGAGTGGCTGGTTTTCCCAGAGGTTTATACATCCTGAGGTAATATCTCCGTTGACTAGATATTACGCCTGCGTATGACGTATTTATGTTGACTCCTCAGGTAGCTTGATGTGCCAATACCTGAACATGGCTCAGGTGTTTATCTTGATTCAGGTAGTCAGGTGTGATAATACCTGTAACTGGATTTGGTAAATTGTCAATAACGTTCGATGACTCCTTTCTACCTGCTGGCACGCTGTTTGCTATTCTTGAACTTCTTACGCTGACCTGAAGCTTTGCTGTAACTTCTTGGCGGGTTTGAAAACCGTTTTGATGTTGTTTCCCCAAGAGTTTTCCAATTATGACTGTGACTCTAGGGATATGAGGTGGATACGTGCGTGCAACAATCTGAGCCTTCCCCCCGGTTTGAGCCGTAGCACTCTTCAGTTTCATAGCTCTGTTGATCTTGGATATAGTGTACCCGAGATCGACAAAGCTCAACATCGAAACGGTTTTCAAACCCACCAAGAAGATACAACCAAACCTCAGGTCTGCACTTGTTGTGCACTTGTGGAAAGGTATACATCGGAACCACCAAATGTAAGCATGTAAGTAACTGCAGACTAGGCCAAACGGACAAATCAGCTATGATCAAACACGCACTCAGTGAAGGAAACTACAGGATTATGTTTGAAAACACGAAATTCATTGCCCTCGACTAGGGATACTATAGCCGACTGGTACGGGAGGCAATAGAAATCCACAAACACATGAATGTTTTTAACAGAAAAGAAAAAGCTGTGAACTTTAATCGAATGTGGAATTCCATTCTGAGAAGCTCAAGAATGGCAGCATAACGTCAGGTAGAAAAGGGCCAACGAACGTTAGTGACAATTTACCAAATTCAGGTACAGGTATTATCACACCAGAATACCTGATTCAACATAAATACGCTTTACGTGATTTATCTAAGCCAGGTTCAGGTATTAGCACACCAAACTACCTGAGAAGTCAACACAAATAGGCGTTATGCAATCGTAATATCCAATCATCGGAGATATTAACTCAGGATGTGTAAAGTGACACTGAAAATCTCGACCGCGAAAGCCTCAACCATTTCGTGCTAACTTTATCTAGATAATTGATTTTTATAATCATCTAATAGAAATGAGATATTTTTCATTTGTAGTAAAAGTTACATTGGTGATAAATAAAACGCAATCACGAAAACATAATGCTGTTGTTGAGGTACATCTATAATTCACTTTTTTTTCTCAACTACTAATAATGTATATTTCCCAACACTGAGACTATCTATTGGACTCACCTTGAAATCCATGAGATTGGTCATAAGTTCTTTGTACTCCGAAGGAGCAATTATTTCAGGGACGGATGTTTGATACATTGAAGCAGTTGATGGATCTCTCAATCCGCAGTCATAGCTCTGCATCTTTCTCAGAGATAAATTTCTGGAATGGGGCTGTTCTACTTCTACCATCTCATCTATCGTATCTTGTCTAGTAATTCCAGGACTTGAGGTGGACGAAACTTTCTGTAACTTTGGAAAAATTTTGTTACCAGATCCTGGTGGTTGACTTGCCGATCCACCTGACGATGATGAGCTCGGCCTGTCTTTCGGATCCTTTGCACTTAAACTTCTAGTGAAACCTTGCGGTGCTGTAGACGTTTCTGAGCTGGAGTCTAAACTGGCTGACCCCAACAATCTTCCCCATTTACTTCCTCGTACTGAAATTCATTGATTGGCAGTTTATTGTTTTAACATTATCAATGCCCGTGTACTATTAGTATACGGGCATTGATACGGGCAATACGGGCAATATAAAAAAACTGAAAGATTTCTAGAAAGGTTATGAATCGTATATATTCTAATCATCAATGAGACAAACGAAACTTATTAAACTTGTTATTATACAGGAATAACCGATAGAAGTTTAGAATAGTTTCTTGAAAAGACGTTACATTGGTGATAATTCAAAAGCCTGGGACCCTGCACAAATGGGTTGAGAATGTAGTATGCTGCACTTTATTATCGTTGTAGACATGAAGTCTTTGAAGTATGTTTGAAACAACATAACCAGAAAAACATTATCTTTCATTTCTAATGAATATTAAGAATATTTGACAAGAAGACACTAATTTTCTGATCTATTATAGTTAACTTTCAGCCGATTTCACTGTTCTCACTTTTCCACAGGTTTTGTGTGTAGTACTTCACTAATTGATTGGAAAAACATTAGTTTCAACGAAAATACCATTGTTTTATGTAGCCGAAAACATTTTTTAAATTACATTCATGTTGAATAACAATATTATTTCCTAACATATTCTAATGAGTTTTGTGTTGTTCCAATCTTGCAACGTCAAAAATGAAGTAGCAAGAATAACTTCATTCTTATACATTTTTCATTATGGCTTCCAATCATTTTAAGAAATCTGTTAGCAGTCAAAATATAAAATGAAAAAAATTAAAATATCCAAGGATAAAAGTACAACTCATGAAAGGAAATGTTAAGTTCAGTAAAATTCTGAAATGGGTGTCAAAAATATTTCGAATTGTCCAGTAATAAATTCTTCGCTCAAAACCCTTGGGTTAAATGGATTGAAAAATATTGGTAACACCTGTTTCATGAACAGCATAATCCAATGTTTATCGAACACGAGATGGTTATTGGAATATTTGAAAAAGGATGAATTCATGAAAGATATCAAATAGTATTTCTAGTATGGGGTGCTTTAATCAAAGCGTTTGCAGAAGTCATCAAGGAGTTGTGATCAGAAGATTCATTTGATGAAGTTGTAAATACAGTTTCCTTGAAAACTCAGATTTAAAGTTATTCAATTCATGGGATTGTATAACAACATAAGTTCTGTTAACATGAGTAAGTGGATTTGATTTAAAATCCCTCAGTTCATCTCATGGATAACATTTTTGAATCGTGATGATATTTCGGTTCATTGAAAGTAATAAAACCAGTTTATAAAAATGGTGATGGAAACGAAATAAAAAATCATAGACCTATTATGTATTGTGTATGAAAAAAATCCAAAATTGAAAAACATCTTATTCACTTGAAATGTTTGTTCTATAAACTTCAAAGAATGAATCGAATGAAAAAATAGGTACGAAAAATTCTACATGCATTATACCAAATAAATATGCAATACTTTAAAAAATCCGTTCGTCACCATAAATATGAAGTGAAAGAAAGGTTAATAACGACTGATCGGTATTTCTTCCACAGTTTGATAAGCCGATGATTTATTAAAAAATAGTTCATATATTGTATTATCCTTAGATACAACAATTTGAGCTTCGTGAGGCTTTGTTGATTTCTTCGTGCAAGTGAATTTTATAGCGGAAACAGTTTTCGTGATTGTTCATGAATTCTTCTTATATTATTATGCCATAAATGTATTTTGTACTCCACAATATTTGTGAGAATTCAACAAAACATTTTATGACACTACAACATCAATTTGATAACTTCTTCAGGCGTGTTTAATATGTTTCATACATATAACATACACAGTATAACATGCCTGTTGTGTTATTAAATGCATTATTCAAAACTAGTTTAAAAAAAAAGAATATACCTGTAACTGGCCGTGCTACAGTAGTTTTAACTCCTCCCCCATTACTGTCATCTCTCTCAGTTACGGCAGACAATTTAGTTGTCGACATCACCCTCGTGGTTTTATCGTTGATTTCATCCCCCTTTTCTACATCAGATGGTGTCACAATCGGTGTATTGACAACGTGCTGACTCCGATCACGACGAAATTTTGAGAAGATTTTTCGAACTAAATGATCTTGATTTTGATCTAACTGTGGCTCGTTTTTTCTTCGTTCTGCCAACTCTTTTTCTCTCTTAACATCGGCAACTTTTCTAAATATTAAACGATGCCTTAAATTATACGTTAAAATTAAATTTCTCGCGAAACTATTAGCGAAAGCTTGATAAAAATCTAATACTTCTAGAAGTTTGTCTCTTTTAATTGTATGTAAATCACAGTAAGTTAAAGCACGCACATTAGCAGCGGACTGGCCTACCGCATTATCTTTCCAGAATGAATCACCAAAGACATCACCTTTACCTGAAAATGATAAACGGAAATCACTAACCCATTTTGCACACTATTGTTCTGATTTGTACTCTCTGATCATTTTCAAGACGAAAAAAAATCCTCATTCCATTAATAATAATAATAATTTCGGAAAATAGAATCAACAAGGTGTTTTAACAAAAGTCATTTTTCTTAGAGAAAATAATTTTTTTATCAACTTTTCAACTTTCGTAGAATGTTAAAGTAGTTTGAAAATAAAGCGAATCGGAGAAAAAAACTGCAACTTGCATGTATTTTTCACAATTTTGAAGATGGAGCTTCCAAAACGTTGAGATAGGCAAAATTGTTGAATATGAAAAGTTATTGATGAATAGTAGATTTTTTTTCTGGAGAATAATTTAAACTTACACAATAATTTATCGGATTGAACTAAAAAGTTGGCTCATTTTACATCAGTATAAAGTTCTCAATTGAAATTTTTATTTTTTTCAAACAGTGTAAGGTGAAAATTCCCAGAAAAGTCAATAGAGTATGAATATTACTGGAGTCCTATCCCAACACCAAACCGTTAGTTTTAACCTTTCGACAAGTGTTACAATCACCAAGTGATCATCTTGAAGAGGAAGATCAAATTGAGCCCAGAATGGAAGTGACCATTTCATCACTTGAAATTAAGAATATGATAATGTGTTTGAATATTTCATTTATAAACCAACAATTATAAAAATCAACGCACATACCTTTTCTTATCTGAGTTGAGTATCAGAAAAGAGAAGGAAAACGGAAAAATTTTCTTAATAATTTCGAACATTAGAAAATCATATGAAGAAGAAGTACTAGATGAAGATTCCTCGTCATAACACTTAGCAAAAAGAAGTGGAAAATAGAACTTCATTTGTTCGGACTTCCATTGTCTAATATAATATGAAATGATTTGGAATTCCTGAAAGAGTCAATAAAATTGAAAAGAGAGAATAGCTGGAAATTACAATTATATTGAGCAAAATACCCTGAACTGAAATAACAATAAAATGAAATAAAAACAAAAATTGAAAAATGAACAATTAACAAGAAATGAAGAATCAAAAATTGAAAGATAAAAATTGTGAAGATTCCAAGCCAAGTTACTTCACGATGTTTCCATTGTTAGTATACACAATCAAAATACGGATAGGATTGGAACAATGAAAATGAATGGACAACCACCCACTAGCACGGCACAGCCAAGAGCGTCCGCCGTCGGAAAGGATTCCAGCTCTTTAATCCTGTCCGGCAAATAACGGTACGTGCTGTGGCGGACTGTCCAAATGAGCGCGTCGCCGGCCAGCGCTTGCCAGCATCAAGTTGTCCAAACGTGCCTGGAAGTTTTTGTCTCTCTGTTTTGATATGCCATCAGTTGATAGTACGGTGTAACTATGAAAATGGGCGAGGAAAAATTGAGTTGCTTGTTGAAGCAGGCTCTAGAATATCCAGAAGTTCTGAAAATTTGCTTGGAATCATTCGGAAATACTGGAAAAATTTCTCCTCGTCTTCTTTCAGATCGTTGAAAAGATGTTGACACTCTCCCAGATTTACTCTCTTCTGAATAATTGGATGGTCTCACAACATTTTTTTTTTTGAGTATATTTTCTTCTACATTCAATAATGCGGCCATTATAATGACGACTTCTACGTCAGAACTGCTATTGATAGACATTTTTCTGTCACCGCTCGATGTCAACTGAAATTCCTTTGAAATCAAACAAACAACACCTTCAGTATGCTGGTTGTAGCTGAACAAGTGGGCTTTACTACTACCCGTCGCCATTAGTCGACGGACAGCGCCGTGCTTTGCTGTGCCGGACAAGTGAGCGATAAGCTTTAAACGGCCAACGGGCCAACTCCCTAAAAACCGTAAGCTCTCGTTAAACTGGCGAAGCGGGGAGAGGGAAGATGGGATAGTAAAAGCACTCGACGATTGTGGATACTAACAATCGAAAGGTTGTAACTTGACTTGTAATCTTTCAATTTTGAATTTTTGTTTTTTAATTTTCTATTAATTGTTCAATTTTCAATTGTTGCTTGTATTTTATTTTATAGTGATTTCATTTCAGGGTTTTTTGCTCGATATAATTGTTATTTCCAGCTATTCCCTCTTTTTAATTTTATTGATTCTTCTAGGAATTTCGAATCATTTCATTTCATATTCGACAATGGCAATCTGAGCTAATGAAGTTCACCATGAAACATTGTCAACCACCTTCATCATCACCTTCGGACTGCAATATTGAATATAATGCAGTCCGAAGGTGATGAATGAATTTCTTTTGTGTAGATTGAAAGGGGTATATTTTTAGGACAGAATAATTTAGGGAAAAAAAGTTTTGGCTTTCTGTTTCCTGTGTATACTGTCAATTGTGAAAAAAGTCGTGAAGATATAATTCGACAGGATATGCAGTTTTAGTCTATATCAATTGGCATACCGCGGCCTTATGATTGATTTATTACTACTTGTAACACTTTTCTATGCTTCACAGGATATTATATTGCCCAGCTTAAACATTCTAAGAAATTAGCTTTTGACAATTATATTCAATCGGCGGGAAATAAGACGAAAGCATGTTGCAAATAATACATTTTGAGAGAAACAAAAACAACAATAATATAACTCATACTGATATATCTCCTGACCATTTCAATGACTTTTTTGTTAATATTCAATCTCTACCAACGGTATGCAAAGAGGGTTTACTGAATTTCAGAAATTTTTCAGCCCCTTGCAGCTTTTTTTTTCTTATCCCAGTGACCGAAGAAGACGTTCAAAGTGCAATAAGCTCACTCAAAAATTCCAAATGCTTAAACGCCTATGAACTAAATAGTGATATCATTAATAAGACCTTCCAGATATTGTTGCAGCCTCTTTCTGAATTGATAAATGTAACAAGTGGTATTTTTCCTGGCACATTTAAGCTATCAAAAGTTATCTCTTTGTTTCAAAACGGAGACATTTCTCTTATTAACAATTATCGTCCTATTTCAATAATATCCATTTTTAGCAAAATAATTGAGATTATTAAACAAGGTATTTACGCATATTTTGTAAAATATTAATTATTCAACGAATTTCAGTTTGGTTTTCGTAAGTACCGCTCTAAAGCAGTGGCAGTTCTCAATGTGGTGAGTGAAGTAGTCGACAAGGTAACCACACAGCTATTACGCGCTGCGACCTCTCTAAAGTGTTCGACTGCATCTCTCACATATTATTGGAAAACTATATTACCCTGGCGTCAGGGGAGTATCTCTATCCCTCATAAAATCATATTCATCAAATAGATATCAAGCAGTCAGTAGCAATAATTGCATTTCGAATTTGAAACTCGTTAAACATGGTGTTCCTCAAGGATCAGTATTAGGACCACTTCTATTCATAATTTACGTGACTGACATTAGTAACTTCATGTATCCATATAAATCTGTTTTGTTTGCCAATGACACTACATTTATTTACTCTGACAAAAATTCTATTGAACTATCTAGAATATCAAAGGAAGTCGATGAGAAGGCAGAAAGTTGGTTCGTGTCAAATCGACTCAATCTGAATACAGATGAAACGCAATAGTTACAGTATTCAGCAAGCTCTGCCGCTACATCAAGTGCAAACAGTGTTAAATTACTTGGGTAAGTTATCGATAGTACTCTCGCTTGGACCTGTCATATTGGCCAATTTAGTAAAGAATTCTCTAAATATAACTAGTTTTGAAATACTGAAAATAACTTATTTCTCCCTTTTCCATTCTCACATTAGCTATGGTGTTATACTCTGGGGCAACTCAACTGCAGAAAAAAGCCCACAGAATAATTTCTAACTCTGGTTATAGGGATCATTGTCTACTTCTGTTTTTGAAATTGAGAATAATGCCGCTCCCCACATTATTTCTGTACAACCTTCTCATAGAAATTCATAAAAAATCAACTTCATTAATCAAGCAATCAGACCTTCATGACTATGATACCAGACATTGTAACAAATTTCGGACAAACCGATATCGTTTGAGTAAATAACCGATCAACGAAAGTATAAAAATTATGTCAGATAAACTAAAACACCAAAACATGACAGAATCTACATTAACTAGATGGAACAAAAGCCTTAATACAATACTCAACTATTTCGAATCCGAAGAAAAAATTTATAAATAAACAGATGGACTAGCGATGGGATCTCCACTATCTAGCATTATATCCGAAATATATATACCTGCAAACCATAGATGAGAAAATCTCAATAATAATCAAAACACATGATGGAAAAGAAGATACGTTGACGATGGCCTGTACATATCACAAAACAATGGAATACGAATAGATCAAATAACAAAGGAAATTAACAAAATGAATCAAAGACTGAATTTCAGCATAGAAGAAGAAAACAACTCAAAACTCAACTACCTAGACATAACTATCGGATATAACCACAACACAACACAATTTCAAATGACAATATAAAAGAAACCTACACAAACAAGCTCTACCATACCCGCAAGTTCAAACCACCCACCGTCACACAACATGGCCGCCTATAACGCATTCATATACAGAATGTTGAGGATACCACTTAGCAATGAAGCCCAGAACATGGAAAGGAAAATCACATACCAAATAGCTAACAAGAACGGATACACCCAAAAGACAATAGATAAACTAGAAAATAGAATCAAACGAAAAATACAGAACAAGGATCAAACTACTCCAACAGATAAAATAACACAACGATGGACAGCATTCACATACGTAGGTCACCAAACCAAAAAACTAACAAACATCTTCAAACCCCTGAACATCAACATCACATACAAGCCAAACACGAAAATAACACAAAAAATAAACAGCTATGAAACAGAAGGAAACAAAAACCTTAACGAGGTGTACAGCATACAATGCTCGGACGGCAACAAATTCTATATCGGCCAAACTAAGTAAAAACTGATCCAAAGATATGACGAGCACAAAAAGGCATACATAAACCTAATAGTATATAAATCGAACCTCGCAACACACGCCATACAAAACAAACATAAGTTTCCCCCACCAGAGAACATAAAACTCATAAATAAAGTCAAAAAAGGAAATCGCATGAACATCTTTGAAAACTTAAACATCCATAAATTTCTGGATGTTTAAGAGTGTCGGTTGAGACAACTTGCCAACTTGGTTGTCACACCAATAGGTGGTTCCACTTATGTCTCGCTTGCGTTTACGCAGTTATTTCTATTAAGTACTTTTCATGGTTTTTCACATTTTGTCTTCAATCGAGGACCGCCTTCCCGGTACTGATGATGCCCAATAGGCTGAAACAGCTGTTTACCGGTGGCTCCTAAATTGAAATAAATATGGGAATGATCAGAATGGTACTTATATATTTATTTGAAAGGGTTATATTTTTAGGAGTGATTAATTTTTTGGGAAAGAAAGTTTTTGGCTTTCTACTACTCCATCTGATACAAAAAAAATGGATGAGAGAATCTTCCAAAGAAAGGAAGGATTAATCAATTTGAAAATAAGTGTGGGACAACAAAAAATTCAGAAACATGTAAAATCCATATACGTACTCACCCAAAATAGCGACGACTTCATCGTCCTGTATCACTTCCAAAGACCCAGTAACAATGAAGCATAAAGAGTCAATCGACTCTCCCGTGTGATATAGCAGGTCGCCAGGGGCTGAATGCGACATGGTGAAGTGCATAGCGAGAGCTCTCAAGCAGCCGTCGGATGCTAGCCGGAAAGCCGGATGTTCGTTGAACACTTTCCTATTCAGATGAACGCATATATCTGCCTTCATGTCCTTGGGACAAAAGTTCAGAACCTGTAGAAAACGATTGTGTTTACGTGAGAATTCTGAAAGGGTGACAGCAACAATATATTTCCATTCCCCGATAACGTAACTACTGGAACAAAACCGTTGGATTTGATAAAAAATAATGTTTTGATGTTGATTACATTTTATTTTTTGAAGTCTACATTACTTACTGTCTATCAGGATATACAAGCTGTTTCTTTTATAACGTGGTAACCTTGCTATATTATGAACCATACTAGATATAAAGAAAATTGAATGAGAAAACGGTAACTATCGTGGGAAACAGTGAAAATAAATATGTTGTTGTTGAAATTGAAATTGTGGAAACCACTGTCAATACTTCCCAGAGGTAGCAATATATTCGTTCTGATCTTTTTCATATGAACCTACATATTTTTTTTCAGTTTGTATACAGGTGTATCTCTACAGAGGCGACGTTTGGCAGATATTGGATATTTATTAAAGCAAATCGCAGAAATATCGAAGCATCCACCATTCGATTGTACATTCAGTGATATGTATCCAATTCATGAATATAAAATGGGTTTGAAAACCAAAATCAGTTTTGTATGCAAAATGTGCAATATTGAAAGAACCATTCATCTCATAGAAGAAACCGATGGGGAAATGGACAGAAATAGCGTTTTAGCGTTGGCCACAGTTTCAACCAGAAGTGGATACTCTACAATCAACGAGATGCTTTCTGTTTTGAATGTACCGTTCATGAGTAACTCTACTTATCAGCAACACCACGATAATGTAGCTGATATCATTGAAGAGATTGTTTGGAAGGTCATGGAGGAAACAGGTCAAGAAGAGGCTCGAATAGCTCAAGAACTAGGAGAGGTCGATGAAAGCGGTATTCCAATGATAACCGTTGTAGCTGACGGGGTTTGGAGTAAAAGATCATTCTCCGTAAATTATAATGCATCTTCAGGCGTAGTAGGTAGTCAGTTGCTGAGTGCACCGAATATATCATTATTATATTCTTATTTTACAGGCCTGTATAATTGGTGCTAGAACGAAAAAAATCAAAGATCTCAAGAATGTCCCATCACATGTATTTGGACAGCATGAAAGATGTCAGGTGATATCATATTTCAAGTGTTCTCCAAGATTAGATGGAGTTGATCATATACCCAGCATGAGAGCATGTGGTCTATTGGACGATATTGAAGTTTGTATTAACCGCTTAGTTTTCAATGCGGCCAGCTTAATAGCGGACCTGGATACCAATATCGCTGAACAATACAACAGCATCATCTGCAAGTTTGTTGAAGGTAAAAGAATAAACTATTCTCGTAAAAGATCTATGCGACACGTTGTAAAGCTGCTGCTATTTCATTCAACTCTGATGGGGACTATTATAATGTTGTTGAAAAACACAAAGTTCCATTTTATACCAAAAGATATGTAGAAAAGGTGAAAAGGAGACGCCAACTTCAGAAAATCACGAGACGCAAAAATAAAGACCTTCCACCAAAATTTAAGAAGAAATATGCTCTACCAGATAAGGATTACGGCCCAGACGCTATCCCTGATCCTGATTTATCTACCGATCAATTCGAGCGAAAAAAATACGATTTTCTCAATTCATTAAAAAAACTGTCGAAGAGATAAAACTCATTGAACTCAATACAAGAGGTCAATCTGGAAATCCTTTATAGCAACAGGAGAGAAGTATTCGCTTAACAGCTTCACATTTTGGTGACATTTGCAAGATGCGAAAAACAACATCTTGTGTCAATAAAGTGAAAAACTTACATTATGCCACCTTCAGAGGAAACGAAAACACCAAGTATGGAAGAGAACATGAGCCATCCGCAATTAGACAACTAGAGAATGATTTTGATGTCAAAGTAATACTTTCTTTAATGATACACAAGAGTAAATATTAATTTTTTTTTGTCACAGATTGAACCTTATGGAATGTTCATTGATGAATACGACTATATTTTTGGAGCCAGTCCTGATATGTTGATAGGAGATGACGCCATTGTTGAGGTGAAGTGCCCCAAAACTGCGTCAAAAATGCACCCCAAAGAAGCAATCGAGCAAAAAATAATAAATTTCTGTACTCTAGATGAGAATCTACACTTACAGCTGAAACAAAATCATAATTATTACTATAAAGTACAAGGACAGCTACACATTACTCAGCGTTCCCTGTGTTATTTTGTAATTTGGACTCCGTTGGGAATTTTAGTTGAAAAGGTGAGTTTTAGTAACATACCGATAACAATCTGTGATATCAAAACGATAAATTGGTTTTCATCCATGTTTTAACTGCCTTCAACAACTCACCCCAATCATTCAAAAATATTTCTGATTATAACTATTAAAATTATAGGCTGAGCACTTTATGTAGGTATTAATTCTGTTTTATATTCCATGACCTTATAAAATTGATAGGAATTTTTTTTAGATTATCAAGGACGATTCATTCTGGACGAATAAAATGAAACCAAAGTTGGAAAATTTTTACAACAGTTGCCTCCTGCCCGAATTGATAGATCCTAGATACCCGAGGAAATTGGAAATTCGCAATCCACCACGCCAGTATACATACCGTTGAAAAGTCTAGTTCGCAAATGCTTTTTAGGTCAAAACTTTTTGCCGGCTCCTAAAAGTATGGTTGAAGTATCATTCGATTCAGAATTTTTTTCTGTTTGATAATATAGGTGCATTTTCGAAACTAGAAGGAATTTTATTACGACCAATGTAGGACAACCTTTGTTGAAGATGAAATGATTCTGGCAATAACCTCATGATAATAATAGAATAATAAAACATCGTTCACCATTGAAAATATTTAAACGATTAATTAATCTTCAAACATAAAACAATTACGCTCCGTCTATGGAGTTTGCCGTGCCCCCTCTGTAGTGTGTGTATTGGAGTCGCAACAACATTAACTTGTCGATTTGCGTAATGAATATATCCATCAAGATAGAAGGAGGCGTCCCTTGTTCAGTATGTCTGTGATTGTAAAAATAGGACCGCCTACCATATTCTCAGACATTTACCGTTAGATGCAGTTCGAGGGTCCAGTTGCAGGTATGGAGCGCTCTTAAAAGGATTACGGAAGGACAGTATACGATTTGCGAAGTGGTTTAGACCAAGTGTTTGGTATATACATTACATACATTCAGTCGCAGATTTCAATTTCTTGAGATAATCCACGAATTTCGTATAATATATTATTTTATACGGATTCTTTGATTGAAAAGGCGACACATTCTATTCTGCGTCTTTTGTCAAATTTCTAATTTCGGAAGGAGTTAACATGTCTTCATCATCAATCCATTATTTTAGAAAAAAAACACAGATCAATCCCTTGTACAAATAATTTACTCTCAAGATGAACGGATGAAAAATGGAGATTTTCAACTAAACATATCAGAAAATATACATAGTAACCCAAAGTCAATATTACATATTATCATCTTTCGGTAAATACGCTCTAGCCGTCAATAGTGATAATTATAACGATTTAAAGATTTGAAATCATAAATTATAATATACGATTGAATTAAATACTGAAAATATGAAAATGATGAGTTATACCCATTATATAAAAAAAAATCATTTCGATGTTTGGAACTCACAGTACAAAAAATCGCTAGCTTAGATGAACGAATAACAATTTTAAAATTCTATGCATTTTTCTTCTTGGATTTCGAATCTGTTAATTACTTTCTGGCAACAGAAGTTTGAATTAATGTTGTTGAGAAATGTTATCAGATACATTGTTTCAGAAGATATTGTTTTTGGGGAAAAAACCTTCATGGCTTTCAAAAAAAAAAAAGAATAAAATATATCAATAAAAACACTCTCAATAAAATTGATTAGTCTATACACAGGAGTTCGTTTCAGATACAAACCGGAAAAAATACATCCGAAACAAATACGTTCAAACATTCAAAAACAAATCACACGGAAAGAACTTTATTCTTTTACAATAAAAAACATAATTGAATTGAACTATCAAACACATGAATGCCACATGAAGTAAAATATGGAAGAGTGTTGATGAAAATGTATATTATAAAGAAATATTTCATACCTCTATGGGATACATGGATGAAAATCCACCAAAGCGAATCGTTTTTCAAATGAATAAATTCACAACCCAGAAAAGAATATTTTTTTTATTTATATGACTTTTGTTGAAGACATCTGCCGCTGTTGAAGATATGCTTCAAATAGATAAGCTTTCAGTCACATCCATCAAAATATATAAGCTAAATCTATAGGTAAAGCAACAATGAATGAGTATAAATACCTTGTCCTGATCCAGTCCCTTCGTCATAGCCCATGTTGACACTACGTAATCCATTACCCGTTCCGAGAGAGCTTTTGGGACTTCGTGCAACTTCATGAACTCCCTAACGTTATTCAGCATGTCGTGATATTTGGCAGTTGCTGAAGTCATCTGTTGAATAATAGTTGTTACGTGGCCGAATATCGTTGCATACAGTAGAGCTGGAAAATAATGAATTTTGCTGTTTTATAATATACACTTTTTTATGGTGGTGAACAAACTGGGATATTTGTCAATATTCTGAATAACAAAGTGCGTTTACGAATGAGATGGAGAACAAGAACAAGTTTTAAACCGGAAATGAAGAGAAAGCAGTGGTGGATATGTATATCAATGAAGTCTAGTAATTCTGGTGAAATATCGAAAAATCGAAAAAAGAATAAGGCAGGGCGACCTTGATACGTTATGGTGGCTGGGGTTCCCTGCACTGCTGGGAACCCCAGCCAGGTAGGAACCCCAGCCAGGTAGGAACCCCAGCCAGGTAGGGGTACCCCGTGAAGGGCGGTACTGATGTCTGAGGACTTCATACCGCCAACTTCCCCTCAGTCATGAACCCATTTGTCCTTCTTCGACAAAAATCAGCTAAAAGGGTAAGGGAGCTGGGCTCCAACCTGATTGAAATGATGACGCTTGGTCAGCATAGCTGGGAGGTAATAGCTCGAAACAGGTCTGTAGATGATCTACTTGATTGATTTCAGCATGGTTCTACTACAGATATAATTCATTGTCAAGCGTGGTATTAATCATGGACGTAGTTGTTTTTCAGCAGGAATTCACCAGAACCTACTGCGTAGGTGATTTGGGAGAGATGAATGATTCGAAATTTTTTTTCGATACATATATTCATTTTCTTATCCGAGTTGTCCGTAACGAGACGACAGGTGGTTATTGGGGAAACATATTTTAAACTAACACATTTTTAATATCGAATGAATGCATAAAAATTGATTGAGTGACCGACTGGTGCTTGGTGACTGGTCCGTATTTGAGATGACACGGAATATGCAATTGATGACATTGATTCCCGGAGGTTCAAGAGATGAATTATGAAAAACTGATAATAGTCGTACTCCCATTCTTCCTATTTCATCGAAAATATATGAAAAAATCATAAACATTACATTATTAGAGTAATTGAATAGTATTGTTTAATATAACTAGCCGATCCTTGATGAAAATTCATATTAAAACTCGTTGATACAGCGTTATTAACGCTCGATAAAGTTAGTGGCTAGCGAAACACCTGTCACGGTTTTTGTAAAACCCTTTATAATGAAAATCATACAATATACTGTATTAACGAGTTTGAATAGTATTGATTGGAAACGGCAAATTGCAATATTTTTTCATCATAGTTTCAAAAATATTTATCAGAAAAATGAAGAACATTGAAAGTTAATAACGAAAATATACTGGGTGAGTAAACGCGGTCCTGACAACTAATGAATAGACTGTTTATCGCGTTTCTAGTCGTTACTAAAAGGATACACTGGTGAGACAACGATGAAGGTATGAAAAATATCTGACGCATTGAAAGATCAATTTCATTTTAGTCACGGCGGCGATAACAAATCTGTGAAAGTGAAGTAAACCAATGAAATGCCAGTGTCATAAATATGTATTTTTTTGTTTCCATTGATTTCTCCTGGAACTTTTCTAGATGGTGGAAGGTAAAAAGTCTCGAAAAATTTTTATAAAAACTGTGATTCCTTCATCAAAATTAATTTTTTACAATACTTGATTATTGTGGTTCAACAAATATGCCACATATTTAAATAATTCATAATCCAAACATTATCAAGTGTGAAGTTTTGGTTATAGCGTATTCGATGCTACTATAAAAGAGATGATAATATGTGACAAAAAAAAGGATTCGATCGACATGAATTCATTCAAAATGAAACAAAAAAGTTATGTAAAAGTGAGAAGCAGCAATTGGAATCATAAAAAAAGAAAAACCTATTAAAAATAAAATTACCAGGATGCAAATGATAACTCCTAACTTATGTCACTTAATGACAATTACTTCTCTTTTAGTATAGAATTTCTTCGTAACTAGGGACGTATTTAGAATTTTAGAATCGAGTAACTCGTCCATCCTGACTTTGAAAAGGTTTTTGACTTCGACTCATCTGAATCGTAGTCCTGCAGGAATGTACGTCTCCTAACCTACTTTCTGGATCATAGATTTCTAGTTCGTTCAAATCCCAAGTTTTTTCCCCAAATCTCATTTTCTTCAGAGCTTCTGGATAGCTATATCAATGGTGCTTTATACTACTATCGGTAGTGGTGATATATCTCCAACCTCCTGTTCTTTCTAAGCTCGCTACTCTGTAGGTATCGCTACGTAATATAAATTCATATTTCTGTAATTACTCTTTAATTTCACCATTTACTCATTCTCAGATGTGTTTTGGTTTTTTCACTCATCGGTATTTTTATCCGTGATTTCTAATAATCTTACATTCCGGAAGGATCCAAATAAAATGTTGAACTTTCTTGTATTTTCAGTTATTGCTACATTTAGAATCGTTCTTTTTGTTATTATCTTTTACTGAATGATTTCCATTATTTTATTACTCGTTTTAACTCGTATTCTGAAATATTGTAGTTGTCAACACCATCTTGGAATAAATTCAAGTTTTCTGTGTCTCTCTCTGAATACACCCCTTAATCGTCATTAACTCAAACTTACTAGAGTGGTATTGTGCTTGCACCTCTGTTGCCTTCTTAGGCCCATAATGAACTGGATGTAGTTCGATAAAACCAGGACCCAAAAATAAAGTAGTCGTGATTCGATATCAGATAGCACTGTTCCGATACGCTGAGGTCTCATCATTGGTGTTGAGCTGAACTATGAATGCATTGCTGGTCCTTGATGGACAAACCTATGGAAGTGAATGTCAAGATGAAGATAGCATATCACTTAACGAAGACGTTTTCTATGGATCGACAGAAATCTCAGTCCACAACCCAAATGGACCTGTATCAAAATTAAGCTCCGCTTCAACACCGACACGGCCGAACTAGATTCGTCCTGCGTTTCACAGTATGGTAACTGGATGAAACCAGAGTCAAAAGTCAAAAATCGAAGCATTTGTGATCGATCACCAATATTACCATCATAATATACATTGAACTGCCATGATAGATTAGTCCGGTCAACTCTACACTATTTACTTTTACTTTTCTGTGCGAGTTTTTCACTAAGTCATTTTCATTTTCAGTTCCTTTATTTTTCACCCCATTCACTTTCTGAACAGTTACATCTTTCTGTTCCTCTGGATCCTATTCCACTATAACTGCCCTTGAAGTGATTCTCTGAGTTGTTTTGCATATTGAGAGAACTCTTTGCTGAATGAGTTTTGTCTTGACAAATGTGATATTCTTTCATATCTATATCATACTAGTCAATGGCTTGTCATAGGAGATTGAATGAACAAACTTAAATATCTGTGCATAATGATCTGATATATCTGTTATGATTACATCGCATGTGCATAATCCCGTGTTTTTATTGGTGAAAATATTATCAATTAAGCAACCAATCTTCAGTCCTCCGATACGATTGTTACTTGAGTCTTTTTTTTCTTCTGTTTCAAAGTGTCTGTTCGTCAATAATAGTGTGATAAAATTTCTCAAGCTGAATCAATATGTATTTTTTTACATCTACTTACGTAAAGCATTGTAATCATGAAATGTTGAGCCAAGCGATTTTTATAATATTACTGAGAGATCATATGAAGAAGCACTTCGGTTTCCATTCGAAAAGAAAGTCCTCGAATGAAATTTTCCATGAAATTTTCCATTTCTTTTTCATCTGTTTCAATGTATCTCTTCGTCAGTAATACTGGGATGAATTTTCTTAACTGAATCAATATGTAATCGCTTTTTCATCATCTTACCTAGTGAATATACAGGATATGCAAATATCAGAAGCAATCAGTATGATTGGCATTCTTGACAGCGGGAAAGCTCCAGTACTCAGATACGATTGTTACTTAAATATTTTTTTTCACTACTGTGTCAATGTGTCTGTTCGTCAATAATAGTTAACTGAAAAACAGATTTTATTTTGACAGAATCAATATGAATTTTCTTCATCACATGTTACGTGAGATGGGCTATGATTCATTGAATATTTAAATCATGAAATTAAAGTGTATATGAAATATAAAGCCAAAGACGTTAGATGATATTATTGAGAGATCATATGAAGATGCACTTCGGTACCCATTCAAAGAGAAAGTCCTCGATTATTATTTTTACATAAGTCACCTGTTTCAATGTATCTGTTCGTCAATAATAGTGGAATAAAATTTCTTGAACTGAATCTATTTGTTATGGATCACTGAATATTTAAATCAATCAAATAATGTATACATGAAATGTCAAACCTAGAGAATTCAGATGACTCTATTGAATATACCTACACATCTACGGATTCCAAGTCCTCAGATACGATTTTTACCTAATTCCGTTATTTTATATCTTTTTCTTTACGTATATTTTCTTACGTGCGATGCGTTATGGTTGACAAAACATTTGAAGAAACACGTCGGTACCCATTCGATAAGAAAGTTCTCAAATAAATTTATTACATTAGTTTGTTTTCTTTCACCCGTTTCAATCTAAATGTTCGTGAATAATAGGAGAATGTTTTTTTTTCTGAATCAACATGTATTTTCGTTTCATCACCTTATTCGAGATGCGTTATGGTTCACTGAATATTTAAATGAAATTGATTTGTGTATAATATGTTAAACCTAGCGACTGCAGATGATATTATTGAGATTTAATATGAAGAAGCACTTTCGAAAAGGGAGTCATTAAATAAAATTCTTACATGAGTCTTTTTTTTCCCCCGTTTCAATGTATCTGTGCATCAATAATGGTAAAATGTAATTTTTTCAACTGAATCAATTTGAATAGAACTGTCCGATACTTGATGAAAATCCATATTCAAAAAACTAATAAATACAGTTTATTCTATGATTTTCACTATAAGGGTTTTACAAATACCGCGATACGTGTTTCGCTATACAATAGCTTCTTCAATCATAACTGAAGTTACTTCTAAATTACACCTTATATACTATAACCTAGTAACTATTCGTCTACCTAAGTAATAAATGCATCTGAAAAAATATACCTGTAAAAG